GCAATTTTTTCACCTTGTTCCTTCTTCAAAATACTTCTAATGGTGCTGTAATTCTTTGGTTCCATAGTAGATCTGATGTAAATTAACTTCATATTAACTATTTTTGTCTAGACAAATATCATTGATCACATTACATTGGTATTACAATTGTGATGTTAAAAAATGATATTGACCCCTGAAATCCTTGGTAATACAAATGTTCACTTTGTCTGGTATTGTTGCAGCATGCCCCATGTAATGTATATATATATATATGTTCAACATGTTATACAACTCAATTATTTTCAGTGGTCTGCAAAATTAAATTTCAAGTTGGCACAAGCTATGTATAAACTTGGCCAGACTAGGCTCATTTAGAGCTTTAACTATACACTTTGACTAACAATTCTAGTCATCAATTATCACAGTATTCAAACTATGTTTTCATTCTTTTGGTGATTATAGGATCTATGCATTTTCTTCAATAATAACACTTTGACAGCTAGATCAGACAAATTTGAAAAACAAACTCTTGTTTGTACATGTAGGATGCATTGTGTGCGCACAAAATATATTTTATTATTATATTGAACGGACGCAGCAGACATTGTCACTACTATCCATCAATTAATACATGTACGGTTAACTCTCTCTATAATGGCCTTCACTCTATAACGAACTGAGAATTAAATCCAGATTTTTTACTATTTAAAAAATCTTACTCTATAACGGATCTCTTAATTAAATTTTCTATGGTGTATAACGGTCTGAAAATTATCCTATTACTATTACTATATTAACACACAAAAGGAAGAAAATTTGCCGCGTTACATATTAATACCCATTTCCGTTTTTGGAGGAATTAAAGGATCTACACAACCAATAAAAGTGCGGCCAACACCGATCTATAAATCTGCTTTTTTTTTTTTAGAGGAAATGTACAATAATATTCTTGTTTCTAGATTATTAAAAAAACCACATACTGCTGCCTTTACACAAAACTTTTTAATAGCGTTAAAAAATTCATTACCAAAAAATATAATTAAATTAAACCAATTTTCAAACCGACTTTCGCCAAAATTTAAAATCCTGTTCTTTCAAGAGAAACAAAAAAATTTAAGATCTTCCATTGAAAAAAATAATCTAAAGTTTAACCGTGATTCCTCAGATTATTATTCCTATATTCGTTATTATACTACAAAAAATCCTGAAATTATCAACGAGGAACCAATTGTTGATTGGATAACACTTTCGTTTTACTCTTTTACTTCTTTTCCCGAAAATTCTCTTAATGCTTTACGCGAAAAACTTTTAACAAATTTAACCGAATTGGGTATTTTAGGAAGGATTTATGTTGCTAGTGAAGGGATAAATGCTCAAATATCATGTCCAAAAGACAAATTAAATAAATTAAGAAAATTTTGTGATGAAGAAATGAATTTAAAAACCATAGAATTTAATTATGCAACATTACATGAAAAAGCATTTAGGAAATTGAATGTTAAAATTAGGAAACAGGTGGGCTATTATTCAATAAATAAAAATTTTTTTTACAGATTCACTAAAAAAATTTTTGTATATTTTATATAGATTGTTGCAGACGGATTAGAATCAGGTTCTTTTGATTTATCCAAACAACCAAAGCATTTGGAACCAGAAGAGTGGCATTTCAGTTTAACCAATGCCAAGAAATCATCAATTCTTATAGATATGAGAAATCATTATGAAAGGTGAGAGACTTTGAATCTGTCTTTCATTCAATATCTTTTAAACTCACATTGTTTAGAAATAAGAATAATCACAACTATAATTATTTTTTTATTTGTTTTATTGTTATTTTTTTTATGCAACCTCTGTTTACGCAACAAGTTTGTGGGAGGGATATTTTCTGATTTAGGTGGGATTAGCTTTCATAAATTGATTATAAGAATTCAAGATGACCTGGAAGTGAAGACAGGCGCAGAAGATAATTAAACAAATCTATTTTGGCAATTTTAAATTTTTTAAATGTTTTAGTATCTTTCTCCAGCAAGTCTACTTTTTGTGATTCAAATTCGAGTATTACTCGTCGAAGATCCGTTTATGAACAACGAGAATTATATAAACAACATCAAACAACCCTATAAAAATTTTTCGCACGGAAATGTATCAGTACTAGTACGAAAAACAGAAACTCCGTTGTTTTCTATATTAATATTAATGTTAATATGAAGTGGTATGATAATTCCAGAAAACACACGGAATTCCATTTTCCGTACAATTTCCGTGTAAAGCATATTAATATTAATATTAATATTGATATTAATATTGATATTGATATTGATATAATGCAAATATCGAAAAAATCACGTCATGCACGGATTGTTTAAACATGCAATTTTTTTTTAAATTTGGAAAATATTTATAAATCATGTGATATATGATCGTCGGCCGCTATATAAATTATAATTTAGATGCAGAAACACCCTTAAAATCAATCTTTTTATACATATTCTGAATAAAAATTTAATCCTCACACTAGATAATCAATGATATCAGTGATGATATAAAAATGATGATATAAAATGAGATAAATAAATTGTTCATGATCAGACAAGAACGTTCTCTAAATTCTTGATGATATAACTGATGAGATAATAAAATATTAATGCATTATTCATGATAAATCATCGAACGATTAAAGCGAAAAAGTTCTCTTGTATCAGATACTTTATTACAAATAATCATTTTGCTAATGACGAAATATACAAATAAATCACACATTACTAAAATAGTAATGATGACCCTTCACATAATGAAATATCATGTGAGACTGACTTTATTATTATATTAATATATAGATCGACTGACTTATTGAATAGTAAAAAAAAGGGCTGAAACTTTTTGGCTGAGATAGGCCAAAACTGACTTATCAAAGTTTACATATGTAGTGTGCAACAAGGATACAACTTTTCCTTTGCCTTCTTTCCCATTTGTGATTTTATTATTCTTGATTTTTATCAAACACTGACCACCAAACTAAATTGGTCTTATATCAAGAGTACATGACGATACTAAAAGAATGCTTGAGTGAAAATCAAAGATGGTAATTGGTAAAGGTGTTGCTATAGTTGTGAAAATTTTTCTTGAAAACTACAAGAAAGAAATGTAAACCAATATTACTATAAATCAGTTTGTAGGGATGTTTTGAAGAAGGTGGCAATTTGAAATCCTTGAAATATGATGCATTTTACAAATTATGATATCAATTGTCTCCTCAGATTTCACAAGAACATGTTTGTGTGATGCTCTGCCAACATTTCAAAAATAATCTGCTTGTAAAGAAGAGGTCAAAATCTTAAAGAAATTCAAATAACATCTATTAAAAGCAAATTAGAAAGAGATTATTATAACAAAAATACCAAGTTTGCTGAAGAACAATGAAAGTCATTGATCAAAGTTATTCAAGCCCTATAAAAATTTGGTATGGAAAAATGCGAATTTCAGGTAAAATTCCATACAGTTTTCCATTCATTATAGTTATTATTGAGCCTAAAAATGTCCATTTACCATATTCTGATTAATGTGCAGGTAAGGATCTATTATCTATTTGGTATTCAAGACAAAGTAGCACAAGAACAAATTGATAGTGATCTTGATGATCTTGTAGAAAAAGGACACTTGGGGTATGGTTTTTGATGGAATTAAGAAACTGAATAAGGCGAGAGGCATCTGAAGATTCCCTGTAATAATGCTGGTGGACAAAATAAAAGAATGTAACCATTTTTGTTTCATTATACCTAGTAATGGTTATTATGAGATATTGAATTTAATTTCATGATTTCAGGGCATACCAAATTCCAATGTGATGACAGTTTTGGATTAATCAAAAACTCTATTGAAAGGTAAATGTAGATTGTGTGGATATCATAAAAATTTCTTGATGTTAGTAGTGCTGGATTGAATAAAACTCTAGTTTAAAGGGTCATTATAAGAAGTTGGATGGTATTATGAATTTCAACATTTTTTTTGAAGCTCCCGACCCTGGTATTGTGAAAACTTGAGAGATTGCTAATGGTCCCTTTTCATGAATTTACTTTATTGTTTTGGAAGGTTATGTTTTCTGGTTTTCAAATAAAAAATAATATTTCTATATGATACCTACTCTTGGTATCAAAAACATCTTTACAATAATATTTGTCCATTTGTAAGAGATGGATTTAAAGATATCACTTGTCCAATTTCTTTATATGGTTTCATAATGCACTTTTGTTAGTTATAATTTTTCTTGGTGATTCATTAGTATTTTGGCACTATTTATAAAGAACAAAATTTTCAGCCTGTTTCTTTTTCAACATGTGGGAGCTTTTTAATAGAAAAGAACCATGATTTAAAAATTGATTTCAATTTTGAATTTTAGAGAAAAATATCTCCAAAATTTACTAAAAGTGAGCATGATTTCTAATTCCAAGTGAAAAGTTGTATATAATGGTGACAACAACTCAAAATTGCTTTTTCACGCCATGGGTCCTTTTCTATTGAAAATCCCTCATATACACTGAAATATTACTGTGATGGTAGTAGATAAATAACCCTATTACTATATACAGTAGACCAGTGGCCATAAGAAAAGTAAAAGAGAAGTAGCTGAGTAATTATTCCATATCTAAAATTATAAATTATGTTAACTACAAAAAATGATAATGTCTATTTTTTTATAGAAATAGATATGATTGAGAGAAGATAAACTTTATTAACAAAAACAAAAAAAGAAAAAAGAAATAAGTAGATGGATGAAAGTTTGAATTAGCAGATAATAACATTAGAAGTCTCTTATTGAGAAGAGGATATAGAAGTTCCAAGAACCATGGCCAATATAAAAAAAAAACAAATTTCAAGAATTAAATTTTAGAATAAAGAAAGGTTAAATAAAGAGCCAAGAAATAATTGTCTTAAAGAAAAAAAATTAACTGATGAATTGCAAAAAAACCAATGATCAATTATTGAATAAGTTAAAAGGCCAGAATTAAATTCAAATATCATAAACAAAAGAGGAGATAGGGTTTAGAGTGTGTGGTTATTGAAAATGAACCAAAAGCAAAAGGAAAAGAAGCAAGAAATGGTCGCTCAAATAAACCAAAGCGAATTATTCTAAACAACTAAGTGAAGGTTAAAACAAAAAGAATAAGCTTAGAATGAATTTACACCTTTGGGTTGATTATTCCAATTATTTTGAATAATTAAAAAAAAAAACGAGATGATGTAAATTAGAGGTTGGCATCGTTAACCGGTCAAAATATATTTTTGACCGGTTAGTTCTAATATTAATTTTCACGGTTGAATAATTGGTTAAAGAATTTTTGCGCAGTGCTACTATATAATAATAATAAGCCGTAAATGAATCAAGTATGTAAACCATAATGCCGTAAATCTCTTAATATTAATCGTGTAACATCCTTATGACTAAATTGATAATTTTTAAAAGAGAAACTCCTAATCAGGTTTTGTTTTATTGTTTGTTGAACCATCCACAGTTTCTTAATAAAACTCAATTATGTAAATCTTACTAGATGTAGTAATTTAAATATTGACATATTTCTTTTATTGGTGATGATTAATTATAGAAATTAATTAATTGAGACATTTTTCGGTTGAAACAGAAACAAATCACCTTTACATTATAAATAGATGATGGTTTTACTTTATTAATAATCACAGAAAGCTTCGATTGTAGTTTTCTTTAAATAAAAAAAATTTCTAGCAGATGGCTGAATAATTATCCATAGAAAATATTGCCAAAAAAATCCGAAGTTTCAAAATCAAAACGAGAAAAGGAGGAAAATCTCCTGAGGCCGTAACAATGCTCCTTGAAAATCATTTTATTTATAAAAATATTGTTTATAATCATTACAACGCAAATTTGGAGACCAATGGGTTCATTGTAATGAGTTTTGACTGCAATTGATAATTTTTTTGTTTATTAATTACAGTTATGTCGCAATTAGGCAATTAATTTTGATAATAGATTAAACAGATTAAATAGATCAGATATTAAATTGAATTTTTTCATGCCTCATATAATATCTATAATTGGTGCATCCGTGCGTTATTTACAGGCGCGTATCATATTAGTATTTTTTTTTTTTTTCGAGATGAGTCGACATTAGTATTAGCATTATGACAGACTAATTTCAAAAATTGCTGATCTAAGACCAATTAGTATTCATATGGTTCAACCTCAATAAGGTACATAATAACCTTATCCTTGTTTGGCCAAATATTTTATGATCTAGATGTCTATATTAGTGTTAGAAGAATATAATTTTGCCGTTGAATTTGCTTTACATATATATATTGATAATAAAAAAACAATAAAATAATTGATGAAATCGATAAATAATAATAATACCACCAAAGAATTATTGTATTTTTATTATATCTTCTTATTTACATCAATTATAGTCAAGCCTCGTCTCAATCATCTAAAATCCGTTATACCAAAATACCATAATAATAAATAATAATAACGTTACAATGATTGTTCAAATTTATCCTAAAAAATTTTGAATAATTAAATCAATTAAATCATGCGACAAGTTACACTAAAAAGAAAATTTTTTGATAATATCTTCTAATACATCTGATACAGTTGGGGTTATATAAAGTTTAAAAAAAAATTTTTTTATAAATAATCGTATAACGACATGAATGAGGGGTTTTACAAAGGTTGTGCGCCCCAAAATTTGACATATTCGAGTGCACCTTAACACAAAACTAGTCTAAATTTAGAAATTACCTGCAGTTAATTTCTAGATTCGGTTAGCGCAAGCCTATTTCCGCCGATTGAATTTCGAACATTGGTTCAAACTTTTGTGTTCATGAATATATACTCTATTGAATGTGTCCAAAAAAAGAATCTCAAACCGAAAAAAAAATGTCGTCATAGGGACTACTCGCTAATACTAATACTAATCCATTTTTCGTAAATCATTACCTAAGCAGAAAGATCCACCAATCAACTTTCGAGATTTGGCGGTCACATTACAATAGAAATTAATTATGTTTATTTTGAAGAAAATTTTCAATCTGAACAAAGGATTCTAATTAATATACTCAGGGGTCCTATTTATATGTGCGTAACACACCAAAAATATGCAACGAATCAATTTTCTTATGTTTGGGATTTTTGAGATCAAACTTGCTTACTAATACTAATAATTTATAAATTTCGTCTGACGATCAGAAGCTCTCTTAAGTTTCCGAGGGTGGTTTAATTGAAAAATGAAAAATGAAAAATGAAAAATAAAAATAAAATAAAGTTTTTTTCCACAATCCTCGTCAAACATTATTTACATTGTTTTCATGAATTTATTGGTGGTAAACAAGTTATTTGCAAACATGGTAAAACTATTTCACATGGGAACAATTATCAAGTTGCAAACTTTTAAAGACTTGCATTAAGCATATTTGGTAAAGAAACTAACTTGTAAATTAAATCAATGAAAAAATAAAAACTTGAATGGTCTGCGATACTTTCAACATTTGATTCATTTTTTCGGCTTGTTATCAGAAAGTTTCAGAGAATATGGAAATTTTAAAAAAGTGCTTTTATCCAACGGACTCGGTGATTTTGATTACGAATTATTTTTAATTTTTAAATTGAATAATGTTTACAATTTATTTGATAAATTGTTTTGCGTAGAACAGATCCTTATCATGATCATTAATCCTGATTCGACAGTTCAGACTTTTGTAACAATTACAAATATTTGATAATCATTTTCAAATATTTGATAATCATTTTAAACATTGGTTACAACAATCACAAGTACTTAATAAATCCTTAATTTTCAATTATGAGTGGTTTAACCGATTTAACATTAGAATATGAGCCAACTCGTGTTTATGAAGAGTATGCATGATATCTTTCCATCTATTTTGCCATTACTACCAAATAATTTGTCAGCCGCCAGCCAAAAAACAGTAGGTCACATGAAGACTTTATTTAGAAGTGTGAGAACATGCCAAGTCCAGGTAAAGGTATCTTCTCAAAACCCAAATGGGATATGGGGATTTTCTTTTATAGTAAATACAATTTAGTAGGTATGATGTAATTTGTTAAATATTTACAAAATTCACCAAAGTTTCGAATATTCGAATAGTAGGCCAAAGTTGCTACACAGGTTCGTGCTATAGCATTGAAGGTTAGTATTTTATATTTTTATGGTCCTCTTGGCAAAATTGCACCAGTGAATTCTCAATGGTAGTTTATCATACTGTGAATAAATTGGTTTTTATTCTTAAACGATGAATCTGGCTTAGCAGCAATGGAAATAACTCGCGTGTTATGAAAGTCAATTACAATCAGCTGGATTCAAGGCCTCGACCTGTTCCCGTTGCATTTCAATCGTTTCAACAACTTTTTACAAATAATAAATGTAAATAATAATACAATAACCAGGATCAACTTTTTGATAGACTTATCAGCAAACGATTGAAAATCAAATTCGATGTGAAAGTTGAATAATAAATATTCCAGGTAAATAAATCCGGGGTGAAATTGCTTTCAATTAATACATATAATTTTGTATGCCACAGGCCGTATTGATTTTATCATTAATAAATTGTATCAAATTGATTCGTACAATTATAAAAAAACAAGACTCGAAGTTATATGCATGACAACCGGTCAAAGTTATTTCCGTGATCTTACCTTTTTAAAAAATTTGTCATAACCCGTTCCTGTTTCTTGTTTGAGTAATTTTTAAATTTGTATTAATGGTTTTAAGTATTGTATTAATCTTGGGAGATGAATCTACAGATTTATTCTAATTAAGAAATGATATTCGGTCGACGGAACGCACTAATGAGGTGAGTACACAAGGGGTGTTTTGGACATATATGGAAAAAAATTAAAAAAATTCCCTACATAAGGTTACAGCTTTGTAGATCAATTACTAATCAGAGTTATTTTTCCCAAGATCAGGTTTGTATAGTTCGTATAGTAACTTCTTGTTTTGAACTGGGACGACCAATTATTGAAAAGGTTGTCACGCTTCGTTTTTTTCATTATATTAATCTCTAGATTTATGTAGAGATCGATTTAAAAGTTTTTTTAATTCAAACTCGATAAATTGGCCTCCCAGTCAATAAATAAGTATGTAGTTTTTTTCTTTTTTATGGTAAAACTACAAAAATAATGGATTCTCTCTTTAAAATAATTGAAATTTATATGCGGTATAGTTAAATGCGTGTTATAATGATATCCTGTATGAACTCCTTTATTCACCTGATGTTGATCATTCTTCATAATAGTACTTGCATGAATGAATGCAGTCGGACCGATCGATTTCATTTTAATTTAAATTAACTTTTACTAAGAAAATATTACTAAATTTAATAATCTGGAGAAATAAATTTTATTTGTTCTCGTAATTTTTTAATACAAAAATTAAAAAAATATTATTATTATATCGACTAGTTTCAATCTAGTATCTATTAATACATTTTTTTCTTATAATGGCGCAACTCGATAATGTTTTATTTATATATATATATATTTCTTTAATTAAACCTTCCTTCTCTTTTTAAAATTTTTTTTAAAAAAAAAAAAAATCAAAATTTCCTATTGACTAAAAATTAAAAATATTAATCAATTTTCTACAAAAAATTACTACTATCACTTATTTTAACACTTTCTTTCTTAATGACACAAACAACACAAGATCAACAAAACGAATTACAAAATAATTCGTCCACTTCAACTTCAACATCCAATGTTGAATTCGCACCCAATAACAACAACGAACTTCCTATAACCATCACCGCCGCCTCCTCATCCTCCTCTTCCACTATAACTTTAATAGCTCAACATTCGACTCAACCCGAGATTTCTAATTTAGTTTATAATGCAATTATAGCAAATGATATTTATGGATTGGGTAGAATACTAAGAGAAAATCCTGACTACGACATTAACACATTGATTACTAATGAAATCACTGCCGATGAAAATAATCGCAAGGGTAAAAATGTTTATTTGACTCCTTTGATGATTTCTTGCACTTTGAATTATGTCGATATTACCAGATATTTACTAAAGAAAGAAAAGATTGGGATTGATCTACAAGGTAAAAAAAAAAAAAATTTAAAATAAATTAAGCGTACGCGTTTATTTTTTATTTTTTATTTTTTTTTAACTAACATGATATGATTTGAATATGTTATTCTAGATAAAAATGGAAGAAGTGCATTATTTCATGCAACTCATAACGGAAACTCAGAAATCGTAAAACTGCTATTACAGTATAAAGTAAACGTTAACATCACCGATAAACATGAGATGTCTCCATTATTAGTGGCGGCAACTTATGGACACACCTCAATATCTAGAATGTTGTTAGAGGGAGGGTTTCAAATTGATGTTGATTATCAAGATGAAACTGGTAAAACTGCATTGGCGTTAGCTTGTTATCAAGGTCATACAAGCACTGTTGAAGTACTGATAAAAAATGGCGCAAATGTCAATATTGTTGACAAGGTAAATTATAAATACTTTTGACAACAACAACATTCCTACAAAAAAAAAATTTTTTTTTTTTTTAACAACAAAATTTTCTTTTTCTTTTCCAAAATTTAGTCGGGTTGGACAGCGCTGATGTCGTCTGCATTTTTTGGTAGAACCAACATATGCTATCGATTACTCGAATCAGGTGCCGATAAAACAATAAGAGAAGCCAAAAATCATAAAAATGCTTCTGATCTTGCTATTGACGGCGGCTTCCCTCATTTAGCAAGTATGATAAATAATTATACATTAATAAGTAACAATAAACTATCTCATAAATCACCAAATGTCGTTACAAGCATTTCGAGTATCAATAGTATATTGGTTTCGCGCAATAACAATTTTGATAATATTGAAAGAGGCGTTGACGAGAATGATATATCATCAAATTTCCATTATGACAAAGATTCAAAGAGAGTTTCTTTTTTCGCTAACGGTAATAGACGCTCAAAAAGATACAGCAGTCAAAATATTCATAGCATTTCTAGTTTAAATCGTCAGAATGATCAAGACGATTTGATCGTGACAAGATTACAATCAAATAATAATTATAGAGATTCTCTTGATTATAAATCAATAGCGGAATCTATGAAGCATAACAGCAGAACCATAAGCGCAGGTGAACGATTACGTGACGAAATGAAACCACGTAAAGAGGGTACTATTTGGTCTTTCATCACCCTCATCCTCACCTTCTACATACCTGACTATTTGTTAATCAGGTTTGGTAAATTAGCAAGTGAAGCATCTCGCCAAGCTTGGAAAGAAAAAGTAGCAACGTGTCTTATAATCATCATGGCGGTAGTTGCGACGGCTCTTTTAACAATAAATTTGAGTTTTGAGTTTTGTAATACTCCTATACCTATACCAAAAGACATGATTCAAAATTCTTGGTCAGCGACCGGTTCGGATAGTCATAGAGTAATGATCGTCAGGGGTAAAATTTATGGCGTTGGTGATTATTTCAATATGGATCTGCATCGACCTGTTTCTCCTCCTCAAACCAATGCAACCTTAACACCTTTCATTCAAAGTTTTTATGGTCAAGATGCTACTAAATTTTTTCCATTAGATGGTGCTTCAATTGGTTGTAATTATTCACCTGTAATTAACAACCTTTGTGGATTTAGTGACAGTGAATTGAACGATGGCAAATTTCATTGCCATTCATCAAAAAAATCTCTTGACTCTCTTAAAGCTTTATACACCAATCTCCACGTTTCTGTTCCATGGGATGAAATCAAAAATGCTGCTAATAACATAACCAATAACAAATACATTCTATACGATTCGCTTGTTTACAACCTAACTGATTATTTATCAGACAATAACAATAATTTATGGTTGGGAAAAGACGATAATTCAAAAACACGTTACAAGTCGTTACTAAACTCAATAGCAAACAAAGATGCAACATTAGCCATTAATCGACAAACAGAATTTACCGAGATACTACCTTGTTTAGAACATTTTAATATTGGAAGATTAGAAGGCGTTAGCAGTAACTGTGTGTTGTATTCGCTATCAACAATCTTCTATGTTGGGCTTTTCATGTCACTTGGCTCAATCAAAATAATATCTTCAGTAATTTACAATTTCATCATAACAAAAAGAATGATAAAAACAGACGATAGCAAACCCGTCAAAAATTTAATTGTAATGGTACCTTGTTATTCAGAATCTTCAGAAGCAATATCATCTGCTTTGAAATCATTAGCTGTGGCAGATTATCCCGATCAAAATAAATTATTGTTTATAATCGTCGATGGTAAAAACATTATTGGAAAACAAAACAATAAACCGACATCAGAAATAGTAAAAGATTTATTAGATTTGAGAGAAGACAAAAAATTCCAAAACAAAAAAGAATCAACAATACCTGAAGAAGGGGAGATGGAAGAAAATGAACCTCAGCCATTAAGTTACACATCAATTGCCAAAGAAAAAGGCAACGTCACTGCACATAACATGGCACAAATTTATTCTGGATATTATAGATACGAGGATAGATCGGTTCCAGCAATATTGGTGGTAAAATGTGGTACTCCTGAAGAAAGAGAGGCAAACAAGAATTTACAGAATGATAGATCTGGAAATAGAGGAAAAAGAGATTCGCAATTGATATTGTTCAATTTGTTGAGAGTCTCCTTTAATAATTCACCAATGACAAAGTTAGATTTTGAATTGTTTGAAAAAATTCGTTCCATAACAAATGGTTTAACTGTAGACGATTATGAATTAATGACGATGATCGATGCTGACACCATAGTTGATGAAAATAGTTTAAAATATCTAAAAAATTACATCGATAATGATGATGACGTAATCGGTATATGTGGTGAAGCACAAATTGCTAATAAAACCGCTAGCTTTGTTACAATGATACAGGTAAATTTTATTATTATTATTATTATATATGTGTGTGTGTGTGCGTGATATTATTTATTTACTTATTTTTTTAATTATTAGGTGTTTGAATATTACATGAGTTACAATATGGGTAAACCATTTGAATGTTTATTCTTAAATTCACTATGTTTACCAGGATGTTTTGCAATGTATAGAATCTATGCTAAAAACAAACACAACAGTGAACTTCGTGTTCCAATAATAATTGATGATTACGTATTTACAAATTATTTCAGTGATGAAAATGACACTCTGCACCAAAAAAATCTGATATTAGGTGAAGATAGGTATCTTACAACATTGGTTGTGCGCTCATTTCCTAGACGTAGAATTGTCTATTGCACAGATGCAACTTGTCAAACAATTGTTCCCGAAACTTTTTCAGTATTACTATCACAAAGACGTAGATGGATTAATGGAACAATTCATAATCAATTAACATTATTGGCTTCGCCTGGTTTACCTGGCAGATTTTGTTTCTCCGTGCAATTCGTGATGTTAATGGAGCTATTTGTAGTCGCCACGTTACCGTTTTCTTTGATTTACTTTTTTGTGTATTTTCTACAAATCCTTTTGGCAGCTAATCCAAATCCATTAGCGATTATTACTTCTATTACTGTCTACATGATGAGTGGGATTGTATCTTTATTTCGATTAAGTAGTATAAAATGGTATTTCGTTTATCTGGCTTCAGTACCATTTTGGAATATAATCTTACCTTTATACTCGTTTTGGTATTTAGATGGTAAGTAAGAACACTAAATATTTAAAATCTTAAAATATCTTGAAAATAAAATATTAATTTTAATATTTATATTTTATTTATAATAATAATAGATGTTTCATGGGGAGGCACACAAAAACTTTCAAAGGTAATAAAAAATGGTGATAACGAGGAGGATGATGAAAATAAAGAAAAATCAAAAACAAAAGCTGTAGAAATCAAAACAAAAAAATGGATGGATTGGCGAATGGATTACGTTAGAAAAAATTATATATTATAACTTGTTTAACTTGTTTATATATATATATATAATATATATAATAGAAAAAAAAATAGATTAAAATAAAATAAAATAAATAAAATAAAAATTTTCAAATTAAAATTTTTTTTAAATAATAAATTTATTATACATGAACTTGGATCACACCACATTTCTATGAAATATGCCTAATGATATCGAAATTGATATGAAACTGGCACCTAGTATCAAATGCGGTGTAAAAACATATATTATTTCATATAGATATCAAATGTTAACGAAATTGATATGAAGATATAAAATTACTATCCACAAATTTGCAATCTGTCCCAGAAACCCCCCCCCCCCCTTTTTCTAACAACAATTCCCACCTAATCTTAATTGTCTCTACTGCAATCAATCACCTGAAACATCATCCTCATCATCATCCCCATCATCTTTTACCATCTCCTTTAATACCTTTCTATATTCTTTCTTTGCATCATTTAGTTCGTTTCTTATTTCCTCTCTAAATGGAAGAACATTCTCATCATTTTCCTCTGAAATAAAACATTGCACAAGCGTTAAATTTGCAAGTGTCACCAATTATTATTTGGGAGAGCATATTAATTGAGGGCATAAAAAACCCTTCAGAACGTTTTTCAAAACTCCTTTGCCTTCAAGCTCAATGCTTGGTCTGTCCTCATCAGCCCCTCTTCCCCCCTCAATCTTCTACAGTTGATTCTCTTTACAATAAGATGGTTCATTAAAATTTCTTGTTCTGCAAGGCCCAGGGCGACCTGAACCCTCTCCAATATCAACAATCCCATCATTACTCTTCATCATCTTGATCATTCTCCTCATTATCTTCTACCATCTCCTCCTCCTCAACTAATTCATCCTCTTCATCCTCCTCAACTAATTCATCCTCTTCATCCTCCTCACTATCATCTACCACCTCCACTTATACCACCTTCTCTCCACCACCTCCATTTCTACCACCCTCACTTCTACCTTCTCCCCCAATCAATTCATCCTCTCCATCTCCATCCATCCTCTGATCCATCTTCATCCTCTCCACTATCTTCTGTTACCTCCTCCCCAACTAATTCATCTCCTTCATCACCCTCTCTATCCTCATTCAAAAATTTCTGCAACATATCTAGCGCATCTGATGGGCAGCGCTTTAATGATTCCATAATTATTGACGCCTTTTCAGAAGATGATGATAAGTCAAACTTCTTTAATAGGTCATCATTGGTTTCTAATTAAGGAAACTAGAGTGACGACAAGTGGTGACAACCACCACCACCATTCTTATGATAAACACTTACCCAGAAACTGCCTCCCGTTCATCTTCTTTTCTTCTTTTTCTTTTTTTATTGTTTGAAATTGAAGACATTTTGTATTTTTTATTTTTGAAAAAAAAGAAAA